CAGCACTGGGGAGTCAGGCAAGGAGCGGGGCTCGTGGGGATGGGGCAGGTGCGCAGGCAGAGGCCCCATCCTGTGGGCACTGGCCCAGCGGGTGAGGCCTCTGTCCACTCCTCCGTACCCCTATTTATTTCCGTTGTCTCTACGCTGTGTCGGCCAACACTTCCCCGGAGGGTGCTGCTGCCACCTGCCCCAGCCAGCCGCCTGCTCCCCTGACAGCCAGCAGCTGTATATTTGACAAAGTCATTGGTATATTTTTACTTACTGGACTTTCCTTGCACTTTACCTGTTCTTTTCCCAGGGCCGACAGCACGGGGCTCCGGGGCAGTGTGCCTGGCTTGGCTTCCCTTCCCCGCTGCCGGGAGCCGTGGCAGGACTCGCCCATTCTTATTTATTTTGTCTTTTGACTTTCCAGTAGTTGAGGGGAAGGCTGATGTCAGGAGAGGGATAAGGGGACCGAGCGGGGGGGTGCCTTAGGCCCTGGTGGTCAGGGAGGAGGGGAGCATGTGAGGGATGAAAGTGACCTCCTGGCACCAGGTTCACCCACCCTTGGCCCCCTGCCCCCAGCACTGAAGCCCAGCACTGCCCCGAGGCCCCCTCCACTCCTCCTGCAGCTTGGTTCGTACCACACAGACTCTGCTTGGACCCTCCTGTACGTCTGCCTCCCATCTGCCCTCCTACCCGACCTCTATCCCCTCGGGCCACCTAGCCTGCATATGTGTTCACTTTTATTTAAATAAACTTGTGTGGTAAAAGTCCATGCCCGGTCTCCCTCCCTCAACTGAGCCACAGCCTGGGTCTCCATGCTTTTCTCCTCCTGAGCACTCCCCTCTCTAGAGGAGATGGCGTAGAGCACACAGCACCACTACCACCCTCTATCAGGCCTAGAAACTGCCATTGGCGCCTGGCCTCAGAGCCCAGCTCTGATCTCGTCCCCATCTCTCCACACTGGTATGAAGGCTTTAAGGGAAGGAAGCCGTGGAGGCCCCCCAGTCCCTGTGGAGGAACAAAGTTTGGAGCCATGGCTGTGACGATGGGCTGCCCAGTAAAGTGACTGGGGGTGGGGGAAGTATCAGGGTGGCCTGGCCAAGAGGTGCTTTCTTTTTTTTTTTTTTTTAAAGATTGTATTTATTTATTCACGAGAGATACAGAGAAAGAGAGAGAGAGAGAGGCAGAGACAGAGAGGGAGAAGCAGGCTCCCTGCAGGGAGCCCAATGTGAGACTCAATCCCTGAGACTCCAGGATTACACCCTGAACTGAAGCCAGACGCTTAACAGCTGAGCCACCCAGACATCCCGAGGTGCTTTCTTTCAGTCTCCTTTGGGCCAGTGAGGCCACGTGTTGCCCCCCACCCGTTGTCAAATTTCACATACCTCACAATCGCGATCCAGCTGGGAACAAGGAGAACTGCGTGGGTTACAAAGAGCAAGCAGCTCTGAGTGCTGGAGCCCAGGACAGTAATGCCTGAGGGGTTCCTTCTGGGCAACAAGCTCTAAGGGGAGCCAGGAGTCAGCGAGCCTTTCACATGACCCACACAGCCCTATGTTCATGGTGCGTGCCCCAGCAAAGGAAGCCCAGCAGGGACCGAGGACCCTGAAATGAATGTGGGAACCAGGCCCATTCAAACAGAGCCATCATCTAGATCAGCCCCCTCATTTACTGATGAAGGGACCGAGGCCTGCATGTGACATGACTTGCTCATGGTGGTAAAAATCTGGTTTAGAATCCAGACCTCCTACTCATGGTTCAGTGCTCATCCCCAAAGACCACAAAGGTGTGACCTCCAGAATGTTCTCTAGCTGCAGGCTGGTAGTCCTGGTAGGTGTTTCCTCACCATTCTGAATATGACTGAATTGGGGCTGTGTTTCTTCCGTGACCCTGCTCCATGTGGGCACCGCCTCCAGACTACCACCATTTCTCTGGTGACCCCAGACAGAAGCCTTAAAGAAGTAATTCATGTCTGTTCATTTCTCATTCACTTCACCTCCTCCTTTTGACTCCCACCCTAACATAGATAGTTCTGCCCCTGTTCTGTTTTTCTCCCCCAACCGGTTCCTTGCCTGCTTTTATTGATCTTAATGATTTTTAATTCCCTTGCCTAATTTTTTTTAAGACTTATACATTTATTTAAGAGAGAGAGAGAAGGGGCAGAGAATCCCAGGCAGACTCCCCAATGAGCTCAGAGCCCGATTCCACTCGATGTGGGGGCTCCATTCCAGAATCCTGAGATCATGACCTGAGTCAGACGCTTCACCCACTGAGCCACGGGCAGCCCCCCTTGCCTACTTTTAAAGGGCTTTCCTCCATTAGTCCACATAGACACTATAAGAGGATAAAGTAGTTGCTCTGTGCTATCCAAAGTTCATCTTCAGCCCAAGACCTTACCCTGCCAGCAAAGTGGGTATGGTAGACAGACTAATGCCACCCCCCAAAGGTATCCACATTGTAATCCCCCCAACTTGGAACATATTAGGTTACATGGCAAAGGGGAATTAAGATTCCAAATTGAATTAAGTCTCTAACCAGTTGACCTTAAAATAAGGAGAGTATGGTAGGTTATCCAGATGAGCCCAATGTAATCACAGAGTCCATAAAAGTGGAAGGAGGGGGTGCAGAAGAGGAGATCGGAGTGATGCCATGTGAAAAGGTACTCAATCTGGTGTTGCTGGCTTCAAGGATAGAAGGGGCCTGAGCAAAGAAACACAGGTGGCCCCTAGATACTGAAAAAGGCAAGAAAACAGCCTCCCGTGGAGGCTCGAGAAAGGGTCACTGCCCTACAGACATGGTATTTTAGCACAATGAGACCCTGACACACCCTCGCCTTCTAGAACTGTAAGACAATAAATTTGTATTGTTTTAATCCACTCAGTTCATGGTGATTTGTTAACAGCAGCTAATGCAGTAGGTCAAACTGTGCTTCAGTGAGCTCACTGAAACCCTTCTTCTTTCCCCCATACTAGACACCCACCTGTCCTCCTTGACCCCACATCTTTTGATTCTTCCCTCAGACCCCACTTGAGTGGGTACCTGCCCCAGCCCGCATCCATGGCAGGTGTCTAAGGCTGCTCTTGGAACACCCAAAGTTCAGAGACATAAAGCCACTGCAGCCGCCTCCACCTCTTCCCAGGACCCTCATACTAAGTGTGTCTTTCTCACAGAACACTTAGGATGGTAAACTGTAATTTTCTCTTTACACACTTGTCTCTCACACAGGCTTAGAGTTGCTCACAAGCAAGTGAGGCGAATACTCCAGCTCTACCTAGCCCAGAGCCAGGTGCTTATGTAGAGAAGGTGTTTAGGAAATGCTGCAGGAGAAACAAGTGAGCTAGTTCTATCCCCTAGATGCCAAGGTACAGCCAATGACTTGTCAGACCAATGCAAGAAAAGCCAGCAAAGGAAGTCCCTCCCACCCTTTATATATCTTCCTGAAGCAGACCCCTTCTTTGCCTCTATGGAAAGCTTGTTCTGTTTCTCCTCAGAAAACAGCATCTCTTCTGTGACCATACACATGACACCGAAAGGTTGAGCAAAGGGATATTGTTGTGATTCTGAGTAGGTAAACCAGTGATCTGAAAAATGAATTGAATCATGACCAGTTCAGTTATGGTCCGTGGCAAAGCACTTCCATCTCAGAGTGACCTGAGGCAAAGTCAGACACAATCAGACCAGAAGGGGTATGAGGACAGGCAGGAGGCAGCAAGAGCTGGTCACCTCCCATCTCCTGCCTTTCCCCCACCCCACCTCCTCCTTCACATAGTCCCCCTTACCTTTCCAAAATAGTGGCTCATACCACAGCACAAGGGCTCTGATCCCTTTCTAACCTTCTTCACCTCCCAAATCCCACTAAGCACCACCCCCACTGAACTGCTATCCAGTTTCCCAGCTTTACCCTGTCATGTCTCACCTGTAGGTCTTCGTTTAAATCAATAAATCCACACAGCTGGCCTGTTCTCTCCAGCTGTCCTGATCCCTAACCAGTGAAAATTCTCCCATTCCCCATCTCAAATGCCACCTTTCAGGAAGCTTTCTCTAATCTCCTTTCTAAGGAACTCATCACTCCTCAAGCTGTTCATCCTGTAGGAATTTGGCCTCTATTAGTTCTTACTACAAGGGCTTGTCTGTCTTGCACCTCTAAGTGTGGCAGGTATGAATCTCACCCTCAAATGTAGGAGCGTACATGAAATAACACATTTCCTTAATTGTAATAAAGTACTTTCATTTCTCCTCCCCTCATCCTCCCCTGCTGGAATGCTCTAAATTTTGAGGTTTCCCAGAGTACTACAAGGAAGGCCCTCCAGGGATAGTGAATGTCAGCACTAACCTGTTTGGTTCCTCAGGTCTGGAGCTCTTGATTACTCCCTGTCACATCTGGGACTTGGGACTGACTGCCTCTTGCAATGGAAGTCAGAGCCATTCTTTCCCATTTCCTGGAAGGGGAAACAGCCCTGGCTGTCCCAGAACCCCATACTTCTCTCTCTCCTATCAGAAGGGGTCCCCAACTCTCCATTTCCTGCCCTGCGACACTGCCCCTTCCCTCAAGCTCTGTCCTCTCCCTTGTTCTTCCACAATAGATTTTTTTATAGCCCAATAACTCAAAGTTTAACCACTAGTGAGCAACAACTAAGCTAGCACTTTCCTGGCAGGACAAAAGCATTTCATCTTCAAACTCTCCCCGGAGGGAAGGAGAACTTTCCATTCTATCCAGCACCACTGGAAAGAAAAGAAACCCCAGAACAGTTTAATTTCCGAGTCACCTAATGCAGTGACCTTCACCCAGTAGGTGCTCAGGTAAAATTTTCCAATGTAATAGCCTCACATCGCAACACCTCTGCCTGGATGTTTTTCACTAGGAGCCCCTACGCGACCTCGCTAGGGATAACCCGGCGAAAACGAAAGACTACAAGTCCCAGGCTGCCTTGCGGTGGGCGACACGCGCCGCGAGGTCCTGGGAGGAGACGTGGCAGAGCGCGGCGCCTCCGCGCCGGACCGGAAAGCCCAGGGAGGTGGCAGTGGCGGGAGGGTCGGAGCCATGGCAGCCAAGGGGGCAGGTGGGGGGCGCTGGGAGGTGGTGAAGAAGGGGCGGCGGCCCGGGGCCGGCGGCAGCGGTAGAAGCGGCGGAGGGGACCGCCGGGCTCTCGGGGAGGCGAACGGTGTGTGGAAATACGACCTGACCCGTGAGTACCCACCCGGCCGGCCGCCCGCGCCGCCACCGCCACCGCCACCGGCCCCGGGCCTGCCCCTCCGGAGAGGTAGCGGGCAGCCCCCGGAGCCCCGGGCTCTCCTGCCGCCCGGCTACCGCGCCTTGCCTCTTGAGCCTCACAGGAGGTAGACAGCGCTGGGAGGGGGGCTGCCCTCGCCTAGCAGAGGAGTAAACTGAGGCCCAGGGGTGTCAGATGCCTTTCGCAGGATCCCATGTCAGAGGGGACCGGGACTGCGGTCTGCACACACGCTCCAACCGGCTGTCCCCGGCCCTAGCCTGGCCTGTCAGGGCGGGTGTCTGCCAGCTGGGGAGAGACCGCCTTCATGGTACACCGTCTGCCTCCTTGAGTGACTCGCAGTGTTGTGGGGTGCGGGTAGGCCGTCCCGAGGCCCGGCAGAGGGAAGGCTGACTCTCCATTCTCGACTCCCACCAAGCCTTGTAAGCGGGGCCTGTTTCCCCAAAGTCTCCTGGGGGACTGCAGAAAGCTTGCCACTTGTTGATTAGAGTTGTCCCATTGGAGCCAAGATGGGAAAGTCCTGCCCTCCAGAACTGGTAGCCACACTCGCCAAGGAAGCCAGCCCTCTGTATGCATCTCCACTAGTTCCCACATATTCTGGTTTTTCTAAAGAAATCTCTGCCCGGTTCTGTGAAAGAGCCTGTGAACTCCGGAGCTGCCATGACTGAAAGAAGCAGGAGGGCTCCCCTGCCCTGCTCCTTGAGCAGGACAGCTAGAAGGGGTGTTGAGGCAGGTTCTTCACTGAAGATGAATGAGGTGACAATGTGGGGGAAGGGACCGCTGTCCCTGTGAGGCCCTCATGACCCCCCTCCGCCCGTTGTCTGCCTGTCATTACCCCAGCTCCAATCCAGACGACAAGCACCCTCTATGAGCGGGGCTTTGAAAGAATCCTCAAGCGACAGAATAAGGAGCAAGTTCCACCTCCTGCTGCAGAGCCCAAGAAACCAGCAAACAAGAAGCAGACTAAGAAGGTGGCGACCCTCACCAACCAAAACCAGAAGCAGGGTCGCTTCCGCAGCCTGGAAGAGGCGCTGAAAGCTGTGAGTGTCCCTAGACCTGAGGTGGGGAGACAAGAGTAGCATGAGGTATAGAGAAGATGAAAGGCTTAGGAGGGGGATGGCCACTGGGGGCCTGTGGAATTTGGGATGCCACTGACTGGGAGGAGGCGTTTGGGAAAGGGCAGAAACCCCAAGGGATAGAATGTTTGCATTTAAGACAGACAGGAAATAAGTCTGTAGGGAAACCTGGATTAGTACGAGGAGAGCCTCGAGAACTCGGGGATACCAGGGTGGGGGTAAAGAAACACCTGTGGTTCCTTGCCCCATGGAAGCTGCAATCTTTCATCTTCCATCTGGTCCCCTTGCACATGTAAAGGGCTTGAGAGAATTGGGTCTTGAGACCAGCAATCCCAGGTGTGCTGTGTTTTCTAAATATCTGGATGCAGCAATACTGTGGCATTCCACATACTTCACATTTAAAAGCAGAAATCCTCTTTTACCTTCAACCCTTCACCCATTTTCCCAGCTCCACCCTGTTTCCCTAAACTCACTCGTAACTGACCTCGGTGGGGGCCTGTGTCCCGGCAGCTGGATGTGGCAGCTCTGCAGAAGGAACTGGACAAGAGCCAGAGCGTGTTCTCTGGGAACCCCTCCGTGTGGCTGAAGGACCTGGCCAGCTATCTCAACTACAAGCTGCAGGCGCCTCTAAGTGAGCCCACACTAAGCCAGCATACACATGGTTAGTTCTTCGACGTCCCTCAAAATCAGACAAGTTTGAGAAAATACTGAAAGGGCCATATGTAAACACATTAGTTAGCAACAGAGCCCGGGGTCCCCACTGTCCTGATTTATGTGCGTGATTCAAGCTGTTCTTAAATCGTCACGGCTGGGGAAGTGGGCCTCACTGGGACAGGGAGGATGCCAGCCTAGCGCAGGGACCTCTGCGTGCACTTGCCGTTCTCAGGGAGTGCAGCCGAGCTCTCAAAGCTGGCAGGAGCTTCTGATGCTAGCACACATGTGGAACCTTTTGGCCCCAGATTATCCCTACAGCCTGGTAAGCCGGGAGCTTCGTGGGATCATCCGAGGGCTGCTGGCCAAGGCAGCGGGGTCTCTGGAGCTCTTTTTTGACCACTGTCTGTTCACTATGCTGCAAGAGCTGGATAAGACACCAGGTGAGAGGGGGTGCCCCCCTGTGAGGGATAGCCCCACCCCATCTTGGGAACCTACTACTCCCTTTTCCTACTTCCAGATTGCCAGGGTAGTTCTGATTCCAGCAAAGAAATGTGCTAATCTCAATATTCTTTTGGAAAGAGAGGAAGAGGGCAGCCTGGGTGGCTCAGCAGTTTAGCACTGCCTTCAGCCCAGGGTGTGATCCTGGAGTCCCGGGATCGAGTCCCACGTTGGGCTCCCTGCATGGAGCCTGCTTCTCCCTCTGTCTGTATTTCTGCCTCTCTCTCTCTCTCTCTGTGTGTGTGTGTCTCACATAAATAAATAAATAAAATCTTCAAAAAAAAAAAAAAAAGGAAAGAGAGGAAGAAGTTAGGAGTCATTGGCCCTGGGTCTGGGCTCACAGCTGCTAGAAGGGAGATTTCGGTTTTGGGATGCCAAGTAACCTATGTAGGTCTGAGAACACCTGTCTCTCCAGGGGAGTCACTACATGGATACCGCATCTGTATCCAGGCCGTTCTGCAAGACAAGCCCAAGATTGCCACCATGAACCTGGGCAAGGTGAGCTCAGGGTGGTGGTGGGAACGCCAGAAGGGAGGCCACTGGGACTGGGGAGGCTGGGCAGATTCTATATTGTTGAACCTAATTAGGGGACAGTGGAAGCTCTGTAAGACCAGTAACACTGCTGGCACTTGCTCCGCGTCTGCTTTATATAGGCATGAGGTAGATGCTACTGTTATGCTTACTTTATAGATGAGAAGATGGAACTACAGGGGGATTCAGTGACTTTCCTAATTAGTGAACTAGTTTAAGTGGCAAGTACGGGTGCAGGCCACAGCCCAGTGCCGGACCGCATGGTCTGCATCACAACCCTGTACTGCCCCAGTGCTGCACCGCCCCATGGCCTGTCCCTTCTCTCCCTTTTGGTATCTCTTCCTACCTGGCTTTGGGGGTGCTCCTGGTGCTTTGCCTTGTCACAACCTGCCTTTCCCACTGGTCTCCTCAGTTCCTGGAACTGCTGAGGTCTCACCAGAGCCGACCAGCAAAGTGTCTGACAATCATGTGGGCCCTGGGTCAAGCAGGTTTTACCAACCTCACTGAAGGACTGAAAGGTAAGAAAGATGTAGGGGAGAAAAAGGGATGGCCTTGGGGGCAGGGAGCTCCTCTTTAACATCCCCTGTGGGTCCAAGCCTGAGGCTCCCTCCCTGACCTTTGTTTCCTTAGTGTGGCTGGGGATCATGCTGCCTGTACTGGGCATCAAGTCTCTTTCTCCCTTTGCCATCGCGTACCTGGATCGGCTGCTCCTGTGAGTAATTGGTGGGGGGTGGGGTGGGGGTAGGGGATCAGCCAAGAGGGCCCATGGTGTCCACAGTAGCTATTTGAGCAAAACAGGATGCTGTGGTCCTGGTCTCCATAGCTGTGGGGAAACCAGGACCAGCTCCTCCCAGTCAGAACTCGATGGTGAGGAAGGAAAGAGAGGAAACCATTAAGGGGTAGGGATGAGGCTGAGTGTATGCCCATTTTCTTAGATGTTGGTCTCAGCTGGGATCGCAGCCTGCCTGGTAGTCTTCAGCAAGTCTGTTTCCTGCTTTCCCCCGTAGGATGCACCCCAACCTCACCAAGGGCTTTGGCATGATTGGCCCCAAGGACTTCTTCCCACTTCTGGACTTTGCCTACATGCCCAACAACTCCCTGACACCCAGGTAGGACTACCCTGGGGCACACCTGCTGTGAAGGATCCCAGCAGAGGCTCGAGCAGGCTGTATATTTCTTGTCCGTTCTTCTCCAACCACCCAAAATCTGAGATTTTCAACCTGCCCATTGAACCTGACCGTTCAAGGGATCGGTGAACCCTCTGAAGTTATATGGACCCTCAGGTGTGATTGGCATATGGACATTTTCCTGGGGAGAAGATCCATGACTTCCAACAGATTTTCCAAGGAGTCGCTGAGTCTAAAAAGACTCTGAGCCATTATAAGGCCCTTAGTGACTCTGCTCCCACAGGCAGGGCAGAAAGTCAGCCAAGCAAAAGGGACATATCACATAGCTCCATTTAGACCTGGTGCCTGGCTCTCCTCCCACCCCCACCCCAGCCTGCAGGAGCAGCTGTGTCAGCTCTACCCTCGACTGAAGGTGCTGGCATTTGGGGCGAAGCCGGAATCCACCCTGCATACGTATTTCCCCTCCTTCCTGTCCAGAGCCACCCCTAGCTGCCCTCCTGAGATGAAGAAAGAGGTGAGGAAATGATGGGAGGCCACTGCAGAGGTCCTTACCTGCTGACAGGGGCCCTGCCTTCACAGAACCCATGTCTTGGGCCTCTCCTTAGCTCATTCCTGACAGCCACCTGACCTACTCACTCGTGGGCCACCCTCACAGGGACAGAGCTAAAAGGACGCACGTTCACGTCTGGCTGGTCTCTGATGTTCTGCCTCTTGTTGACAGATGATCTTCAAGCTCAAGCTTTAGCTTGAGAGCCGCAGCCTCCCCCTTGTGGCCTCTCAGACTTCTGGGGTCTTGGCACAATTTCTCTGTCCTCTGGGGTGGGAGTGTTGCCTGGGAGGCACTGTCTCCCTCCACCATACCCCCGCCCCAGCAGCCTCTCCTGTCCCCTCTCCCCTGTGCAGCTCCTGAGCAGCCTGACCGAGTGTCTGACGGTGGACCCCCTCAGCGCCAGTGTCTGGAGGCAGTTGTACCCCAAGCACTTGTCACAGTCCAGGCAGGTGGGGGTGGGGGGCTGTCCACCTCTGATGCATAGGGAAAAGCCTTAATCCATGCTTCCCAGCCTGTCCCTGGCCTAGAAGCAGAAGGGGAACATTTGTCACTGTCCTTCGAGTTTGTGCCTCTCAAATTGAGTGGGAACATTTCCAGGTTGGCCTCTAGGAGGCTGCTCATTGTGGGAGGGAAGTGAAGGAGCCAGGGCCTAATGGGAGCCAGGAGGATGAGAGTGGCCCAGTGAGCCCCCTGATTGGAAGGGGTTGTGCTTTCCCCATAGCCTGCTGCTGGAACACCTGCTCAGGTCCTGGGAGCAGATTCCCAAGAAGGTGAGGAGCTGGGAGGACATGGCAGGCTGAGCCTCGTCTGGGTTCTGGGTTCGTACCCCTCAACCACTGCCCTCCCTTTGCTGAGAAGGCGCTGTACTCATGCATTTGGCGTGGACAGTGAAGCAGGGTGGAGGCTCAGAGTTCCCTCACAGACTAAATGTTAACCTCTCAACCCAGACTTTCTTATCCTACAGACACAGAAGTCTTTGCAGGAAACCATCCAATCCTTCAAGCTTACCAACCAGGAGCTGCTGAGGAAGAGCAGCTGCAACAGTCAGGATGCTGCCACCTGCGACACAGCCTGCAAGGTGCCAGCACCCAGCCCTCCCCGACCCACACACCGGCCTATGCCTCTGACCAGCACCCCCGGCCCCCCTGTCTGTGGAGCCGCCCTGTCTCTGGGGTCGTGTGAGGGCTTGTTCCTCTTCCTGGAATGGAAGGCCTGGCTTGAGGCCTTCCTTCCGGATGAAGGACCACCCCCTCCTTCTGACCACTGCTCCCCTCCACCACCCCTTCTCCTCACAGGGCCTTTTGCAGCAGGCACAGGGCTACCGGCTGCCCTGGACACGGATACTCCTATTGGTGCTGATCTTTGCCATAGGTTTCCTGTGCCATGACTTCCAGTCACACAGCTCCTTCCAGGGTAAGCGAGAATTGGCAGGCAAGGGAGATAACGTGAGGGTGAGGCACAGAGCTAGGTGTAGCACCCCCTGGCCCTCACACATAGCTTTGCCCTGATACTACAGAAGAGACTGTTTCAGACAGGCTTTTCTGTCCACAACTATGACGTTACCACTTCAGATTGGACTGCCGCTTTGCCGTAGAGATGTCTGCATAGTCATAGTCTTGCTTGAGTAAATCTTACCTCCTTTTTAACTCCTGAGGAAATTGAGAGTCAGATTTAGTAGTTAGCTTAAGATCACAGCTGGTAAGTAGATGGGTGGACCCTCAGACCCAAGGCTCCCTGACACTTACCTGGCTACCTCACTCCAGTTCACACCTGGCCCAGCAGGAGAAATGAGCTCAGCTCCATGGGCCTGCATCCCTCCCTCTGAGCAAGCGCGCTCTGGAGTGGATCGGAGCCAGCTCTGCAGCCCTGCGAGCACATGAGTTCTGCTCCCCTGGACCTGCTCTGGGGCCTGGAGTGTCCCTGCCCCCCCCTCACCCCCCAGCTCACCAGAGGCCCCCTTTACTCAGCCTCCCTTTCTGGCCGGTTGCTTCGATCATCTGGGTTCTTGCCTGCTGGCCAGCAAGTGTGTGCCAAGATCTACTCCTACAGCCTGCAGGGCTACAGGTGAGCCCTTGTAGGGGTGCGGTGGGGCGAGGCAGCAGGGAGAGGGCCAGGTTTTCAGAGTGGTGACGGCATCAGTGGGAAATGATTACACTTTCCCCTTCTCGAGGCCTCCCTTCCCCACAGCTGTTCTTGGGGAGCTGAGCCATCTGAGGAAACTCAGCCTCCCTCTCTCCCCCCAATTGCCTCTTACAGCTGGCTAGAGGAGACATTGCCGGCCTGGGGCTCCCACCTACTGACCATGCTGCGGCCCAGTTTGCAGCTGGCCTGGGCCCACACCAATGCCACAATAAGCTTCCTTTCTTCCCACTGTGCCTCCCACCTTGCCTGGTTTGGTGACAGCCTTGCTAGCCTCTCCCAGAGGGTAAGTTGGAGATAGGGAGGTCAGAGAAGGGCTGGCCTCCCCAGGGGCTGGAATGTCATCCTCACATGGAACAGGTCCTCAGGGCCAGGATGCATTCTCCACTCTCTGTGCTCCAGCTACAGGTACCTGATACGCTGATCCAGCTGCTCCAGTCTCTGCAGGAGCTGCTCCTGCTTCTTTACCAGAATGTGCTGCTGCCATTGTGGCACATACTGCTGGAAGCCCTGGCCCGGGCCCAGGAGCACTGCCATGAGGCATGCAGGTGAGACCCTCCTCCAAAGCTCCAGCAGGAGCCCGAGAGCCCCATGCCCCTTCCCCAGAGACAAGGCTCTGTCCAGTCTCCCACCGAGCCCTACTGCAGCCCTCGGCCACTCTGGGATGCAGGATAGGGGTCTGAGCTGCAACCCTGTGACCTGACCCAGCACTGCTTTCCAACTCCCACCAATGTTCTGCTTTCCTCCCAGGGGTGAAGTGACCTGGGACTGCGTGAAGACACAGCTCAGTGAGGCTGCCCGCTGGGTCTGGCTCTGCCTACAGGACATCACCGTGGCTTTCTTGGACTGGGCACTTGCCATGATATCCCAGCAATAGGCCCTGCCTCCCTGGCCACCAGGCCTGTCTTGGGGCAGGCCATCTGAGACTGCTGGCAGGCAGAGGGCAGCCATTCTGCAGAAGTCTTCTTGTACCTGGTGCCTAAGTTCTGCCTCCTAGGGAGTGACCGGTTACCTCTGCCCCAGTTCCTCCATCTCCGATGGGGACTGAGCCCAGAGATACGTCAGCCTCCTCCTACCCCTGATCCCACTGAACACTTGTTGGGCCCTGTTGCATGTAGCTCCCAGCCTCTGTCCTCAGGCTGCTAACCTTCTGTAGGCCCCTCTCATCTCCTGCTCTCTACTTCTTTCCATCTCATTCCCAAAGCCCCAGACAGCTCATCTCCCAGAAGGTGGGGTTCTACTGAGTGACAGCTACGTTCTGATGAATGATTCCTGCTCCCAGACTTTAGCCACAGTGGAACAAGGGAAGAGGCCTCCAGAAGAACATAGCATCATAGTGGGCAACGGCAACTTCACCTCGGCCCTCAGCCTGCATGGGCCTGTCAGAGGACTAGGCCAAAGGACCTCTCACCTCTGGACGCCCAATATCTGTCCTTTGAGGCCTCTCACTGCCCTCTGCGTCATCATCCTACTTCTTTACTCTCCCCTCTCCCCCTTCGGTGCCTGGGGACCTTCCCTCCTGGTTCAGCTTCTCCCCGCTGCCTGCCCCTACCACTTGTCTGGGGAGCAAAGCCCAAGTAGTTGTGTGCCTTGGGCCCAGTGGACCTTCCAGCAGCCTGTTGACACAGGATTCAGCATATGGTTCCTTGGTACACCTACTGGGTGGAATAAAGGACACAGATTTGATTGCTAGCTTTCCTCTCTGCATCCCCATGCAGGAATTCCCATAGTTGTAAACAGGACAACAGAATATCAGGCACACACATGTTCTCCTTTGGCCCCCTGCCCCCTGGGGGTTGTAGCCACTGGCGGCAGGTGAGCTTCTGGCAGGGAAAGCTCACACCCATCATTCTAAATGTTGGCCTGTTGAGGATTCCAGACACTCCTTTTGCTCCCCTAATCCTATTGTTTCACTTGTCACTGTGCTTCATGTCCCAAGGTTTGACTTGATAGCTTAAGTATTTTCTTGTTAAAGATTTTATTTATTTATTCATAAGAGACAGAGACACGAGGCAGAGGGAGAAGCAGGTTCCCTGTAGGGAGCCTGACATGGGACTTGATCCCAGGACCCTGGGGTCACGCCCTGAGCTGAAGGTAGATGCTCAACCACTGAGCCACCCGGGTGCCCCTAGCTTAAGTATTTGAAGCTGGAAAGAGGAGGGAGTCAACCAAGGGAATACTTGTTCTGTGACCCATAGTGTCCTCTTCCTTGCCAGGACCTTAATGTGTTAATTGGTTTTATAAGGCAATGAGTGAAAGATTTAGGACTCCAAGAGACCCATGAGTCTAAGGTCTATGGCCAAAGTCCCTTTTTGTGTTTGACTTGAAACTAAGAGAACTGAACAGACTCAGCTCTCACCTCAGGTTTCTTTCCTTGAATGTTTCAAATCTAAGCAGTACTGGCAGTGCACTGCCCACTCCAGCTCCCACAGGTTACTTCCTGCTTCTAGCAGATGGGACAGCAGGATGATGGCCAGCTACCACTTTCCCATTCGCTTGTCACCCTGAGACTGCCTTGACTTCTCAGTGGGAAGACTATAAAGTAGCAAGTGTAGAAAAATCTTGACCCAAAGTGAGGTCATGAGTACAATAGCGTCTCACATTTGTGTTCCCTTTCCTTGTTAGGCTAGAACCGTGTTACCGCTTGAGAGTTAAGCGGTGCACAGTGGACTGAACCCCGGCTCCCCTAGTGGCAGGTAACCATGACAATTGTCCCGGAAAAAATGAAAAATCCCGCCTGGCAACTAAGGTGTGGGGCTGCTGGGTGGGACTGCAAGGGTCCCAAGACCTCACTTCTTCCCAATCAGGAACAAACAGGTTCAGTGCTTAGGAATAGTGAGTCTTTGGTTGGCAACAGCACAGGACAAGGAAAATGAGGACCCTGTCCTGATGACACTGAATCACCAGGGCTGCTGGACTGCTACAATCCAGTGACTCCAAGAATGTTGCCTAACGTGTGCACTGGTTTCCAGTGTGTGTACTAAGTTTACCTTGGGTTCCTTCAACCTTCTGACCTAGAATCCTGGGGTACAACATTTGATCAACTTTGGTCAGCTGGGGTCTCTACAGCCTCTTTCGGGGACACCAACACCTTAATTGGCTTTATTTGATAAACAGTTGTTTGACTCAATACTGGAACTGTCCAAAATTTTTCCTGGGTCAGAGAAGTAGTCCCAACATTGCACCCGCTGCCCTTTAAAGCAGATGTTTCACGTTTTGCAGACCTGTCCAAGCCCAGGAATCCAAGCTGAGCCAGTGAGTTGAGCCAGTGTGGACCAGTAGAGTAGACTCCTACTGACAGGTGTGCTCTCACAGTAGGACTCTTGATGTATTGGAGGGACAGAAGTAACCTGACACCTCAAAGGGTCACATCTGGACATTGTAACTTTACTTTTCACACAGCTGGAGTTCCACAGAAAACTGGCATGTTTGAGTCTGGTTCTCGCTTACCAACTTGAGTTATGACCGACTCTTGTATGGGCCTGCAAGTCATAGCACATGAATCATTTGAACCACTTGTTTTCAAAAGTCAAAGCACGTTTCTGGATTTGAGCCCAGTCTACAGCTCCAGCTTTATAGCCGGGCAGCTTGATGGGTGATCTGCTTACCAGGAACTGATAGCATTGCTAGACTCACCTGCAGCATTACCAGTACACTCTCAAATGCCATCACCCCTGGGGTGGAGGGTTTCCCACAGAGACAAACAGGCCTGCCCTGCCCCATTCCAGAAGGACCCAGTTGACAATTACATGGAAATGTCAATGGTTATCTGACCTCTGAGCATCTTAATCTTCTCTCTCCTAAAGGACTTTGGGTTTAAGTGAACATGTAAGGTGATCCATCCTTTTCTACATATTCTTCATGGGTCTGCTCCCTAATGGGTTGGAGGAGATGAAGGCTTGCTTTTCTCCATGTGGTATTCCATTTTACTGGGCAGTTCCATCACCCCAAACTTGAAATATAAGAAGGAATTTGAAGATGAGATAGGGGGAGCTTCCACCATTCGGGCTATGAGTGAATACTTGTTGAATATTGAATAATCTGCTTATTAATAAAAACCCTGAATTCAGACACATTGTTGGATGTGCCTTGATATATGTATTTTTATTACGTTAGCACATCAGTTATTACTTTTTTGATGGACTTTAGAATTTTAGGTTCACATCAGAATTGAGCAAAAAGTACATATGCCTTGTCCCGTGCACCCACACAGCCCTCCACTGTCAACATCAGTGAACTGGCACTGACACATTGTTATCAAAGTCTGTAGTTTGCATTAAACATACTTTGTATGATTTTAGTCTTTTTAAGTTTATTGAGACTTGTTCTGTAGCCTGGCATGTGGCCCATCCAGGAGAATGTTCCATGAGTGCAGGAAAAGAATATGTTGGGTGGAAGGTTCTGTGCATGTCTGTTAGGTCTCAGTGCATTGATCAAGGCCTCCATTTCCTTACTGAGGTTATCACATAAACATCCTTAATGTTAAAGAACTCCTACAAATCAAGAAAAGCCTCAACATAACAATAAAAAAAAATGGATAAAAGACAATTCATTGAAGGGGCTCCTGGCTGGCTCAGTGAGTAGAGCATGTGACTCTTGATCTCATAGTTGTGAGTTCAAGCCCCACATGGGCACAGAGATTACTTAAAAAAAAAAAAAAAAAAAGACGATTCATTGAAAACTGCAAATAAACAATAAAGTCCGTTTCATTGGTAAAGTACAAATTTCAAATAAGTTACCACTTACTTTTGCCTATTAACAAAGATTTTTCTTTTAAGTGATAATATACTCAGTGAATGTTGTGCTAGAAATCAGTGTAATGTTTCTGGGAAGTAATTTGGTAATATTCATCAAAAGGTTTAAAAGTTCTGTAGTATTTTACCAAAGAATTCCACTCCTGAAAATATGTTCTAGAGATTAGAGAAGAGAAATATGGACAAAGACTTATGTACAAGAGCATTTATTATAGTAGTATGAATAAATTAAAATTTGGATGTAAACTGTGTCTAATAATAAGATGAACATTACAATAAAATTGTTGTAACAATTTTACAACCAAAATGGGAAATGGCTATTTGAATGATGGTTTCAAAGAATTTTTAATGCCATAAAAAAATTCTTATAACTGAGCTCAATTTGTTGAAATATTGACTATAATAAAAAAATACAGAAGAGTGTTGGCAAGGATGTGGAGAAATTGGAACCCTCCTGCATTGCTAATGGGAATGTAGAATGGTTCAGCCATTGTGGAAAACAGTTTGGTGGTTCCTCAAGGAGTTAAAACAGTTACCAGAAACCCCAGCAATTCCACACAGAAATTTGTACACGAATGTTTATAGCACTTCTGTTCATGAAAGCCAAAAGGTGGAAACAGCCCAAATGCCCATCAACATACGAATGGACAAACAATGGTGTATTAGTACATGGAATATTATTCAGTCATTAAAAGGGAGCAGGTGCTGACACATGATACAACATGGATGAGTTTTTCTTTTTTTAAAAAAAATGTATTTATTCATGAAACACACACAGAAAGAGAGAGAGAGAGGCAGAGACACAGGCAGAGGGAGAAGCAGGCTCCATGCAGGGATCCCGAGTCACATGGATGAGTTGCAACAATACTATGACAAGTGACAAAAATCAGGCACAAAAGGTCACATATTTTATTATTTCTTTTATATGAGATCTCCAGAATAGGCAAATCCATAGAGAGAAAGCAGATTAGTGGTTGCCTGGGTATGGGGGAAGTGATGGCAGGGAATGATTGCGTAAAGGGTACAGGGTGTTCTTCTGGGGTAACTTTTTTTAAAAAGTTTGGAAACTAGAGAGAAATGGTAATTTGCACAGTACTGTGAATGCACTAAGTGCCACTGACTTGTTCATACTTTAAAATGGCAAGTTGTACGTTATGTGAATCTCGCCTTAAAAAAAAAAATGGCAACATAATGGAGTATGTTCCTTTTCCCAGCATCCCCTCCCCTCAAGAAACCCAGCCAGCCAGCACGCTAAACACCGAGCTAAGAAAACTGCCCAAGTTAACGCTCTGGGACACAATGATGGCATTTGCAGCAACAGAACGAAGTTAAACGGGGAAATTGGTGGGAAGAAGTTAACCTCCTGCTTTGTGGGTGGGCGCAAGGGTGAAAGCCGTGCTGTGCCCAGTGACCTCAGAGACCTCGGATTTAAAGATGAGCCTGAGAGATAAGGATCAGAGCTGCGAATGGGCCTGAAACCATCCCCCGCCCACCTGCATTTGCGCAGGGCGTCTGTGGCTCCGGGTGGCACGGGCCGCAGGGCTGGAGACGACCCGGGTCTCCCCGCACACCCACTCCGCCGCACCCCTAAGCAAGGCTCCACAGGGGAGTGGGGGTATTAAGTTTCAGAGCCCCCAGGAACTTGGTGGGCAAAGGAGGGTCGGCCGGCCTTCCAGGCCCCTGGAAAGAGGAGCGAAGGGGCGCCGGGGGGCGGGGAGGGCGGTGGCTCGGGTGCATCTCGCTCGGGTCTGCTCGGCGCCGGCCGCCAAGTCCGACCCTGCCGGCCCGGGGCCTGCGCGCCGCCCGCAGCTCTGCGGCTCACACGGCTCAGGCTCCAGCCAGAACGAATAGATTCTGACGACACGTGGTTAACTGACCGAACGAATGTCCTTCACAGCAGGAGAGCAGCAGGATTTTATTGGCGCCCGAAGGGAAAATTAGAGCAAATAACGAAAGTAAGCCCTCGGTTTTGGAAACTGGGCTTGCGCCTTGCAACCGGGGAGCACACTGCGTACGCGCCGCGCAGGGCGAAGGCTGCCCAGCAGCCAGGGGGCGCGGGCGGGATCTCAAAACCTCCTCAACCCTATAAAAGCCACGGCGGAGGGGGGGGGGGGCGAGGAGGTGCAGGAGGGCGCTGCGCTCGCTTTTTTGTTTGGTAAAAAGCAGGGAAATGGAAAGGAAGTGTATTTCCCATTTCCTTCGTCCATAGTTGGGAAGCGGGTCCTCCGCTCGGTCTTCAGTTCCCGGCTTCCTTTGTTCTGTGCAGCGCGGAGGGGCTCCGCGGAGCGAGCTCCTTTATGAAGGGGGGCGGGGGGGGCAGCTATGCCGAAAGGCGTTCCGAGCTTGTCATAGTGCGGCCTTGGTGAGCATTAGGGAGGAACTGGCAGGTGCCGAGAGCAGCGGAGCCTTCGATAGCTCAGTTGGTAGAGCGGAGGACTGTAGTGGTGTGAGTTGCGGCAATCCTTAGGTCGCTGGTTCGATTCCGGCTCGAAGGACTTCGTACGATATTTTTAGTTTCCGCTTAATTCAGTTATCCCGTAGGAAGAAAGTTTCACTCCAAGGCCCGCTGTGCATTTGCAGAAGCACTGCAGATGTTCGGTAAAGCCCAAGTGCAGTTGTAACGTGGGCAGGATCCAATCCAGCGCTCTTGCGGGTTAGATGCGACGATGTGTATCACTATTGCTTACGTGTGATTATTACATGTCTGCGTTACAAAAATCTTGCCCATGATCCTACTATACTCTGCTGTATGAACGTCTTGAATTCCGGTCGATCCTCGGGTCAGCGGCCAGCCCAGAGAAGCCTGTAAGGCAAAGGGAAGAGGAGTGGCAGCAGACGGGGGATTAGCTCAAATGGTAGAGCGCTCGCTTAGCATGCGAGAGGTAGCGGGATCGATGCCCGCATCCTCCACTGAGGTTTTTGCCCCGTGCATCAGAGGATCGCTGAACGGCGGGAGATCTGCGGACGCAGGAAGGTGTTTTGTGATACTGATACACAGAGGAACACGGTGCTCAATGATTAGCTTCGCACGCTGTCCCTTAATTTTGCAGGTGAGTCTTTTACAATTTATTTCCCGGTCACTTTGTGTTTTTCTCCTCCCGGCGGGCAGGCCGTTAACCGTCTTCCGAGAAGATGCGATGGAACCCTCCGGCCCAATCTGCCGGCCGAGCCCCCAAGCGCCACTGGCTCAGGTACCCGCTAACGTGCGAGGGAACCCCCGCGCGCTGACCAATGGCAGCGAGCCTTACTGGGCGGGTAGCCAGCTGCACCCACGGCCAATGGGCGAGGGACTTCTTGTTTCCTGGCAGAGCGGGGTCCCGGCACCGCGGCGCTCGGGTTTTGTTTGGGTCCTGGGTGGAGGACCCGGGTGCCGGGGCCCGAGGTGGCGCCTCGCTAGCGGGAGAGGGAGCGGGATCGCCGGCCCCGAGAGAGGTGAGGGGCGCTGCGTGGAGCGCGGGCCCCGCCGGCCGCGGCCCCGCCCCCTTGTCAGCCCCTTTCAGCCCGGAGCCCCTCTGGAATGCCACCCCGCCCCGCGGCCTGGTCCCGCCGCCCCCGCGCCCGGGCCTCCCCAGCCCCAGCCCCAGCCCAGCCCACCCCCACGCCCGTGGCCGCGGCCCTGGCCCCCGGTGCTCCCTGCCTCGAGTGTGAGTCTGTCTCGCCCCTCCGTGCCCCCGAACCCCACCCTGCCCTGGGCGAGCTCGGTCAGTGTGAAGCGAGGATGTGTCGGGGTCGAGGGGCGAGAACTCACCCGTTGCCCCCAAGTGGGTCTCGGCCAGCCGCTTTTCTAGGGGTGCTCAGAATACCCATCATTCACCCACAGCTACTGCCCTCGTAGCTTTTTCAGGGACTCCGGGGCTTTGCAGGGCGGGAGGGGGCTAGAAACAGACCCATGCCCTAACTGGAATTGAGCTACGGTCTCCAGGTGAGCAGGTGCCTTCCGCCCAGTTTCTTTTGTCTTGGCAAAGGCCGCCGTTCTCTAGTTTTCTTCCATAATAGGCATAAGGTAGTAACAAAAGAAAAGAAAGAACCAGCCCTTCCAGGGCTCAGGGGAGCTACAGACCAAATGCCTGGTCAGTACTTGTGAGGATGGAGGAGTGGAGAGACTTGGAACTTGTTTCTCTCCGCTCCACGCTGCTGGAGATCGAGGAGCCAGTCTAGGAACCAGAGATCCAGAAAGGCCCAACTTTCAAGATGGCCATTGGTTATGGTGGGTGTATCTGGGCTAGGTTTGGAAAATCTGACCTCTCTAATACTATTCCCTAACCTTTGGACTGCAAAAAGCTTCGAATCTAGCATTTCTCAACATAGTTAAGCCACGGAGTAGTTCATTTGGGAACAGCCAAGCTGTAGTAAAATGGGGTCCTTTTTAGGTCAGTTATAACCCTTAGCGTGAGGACAGAAAAGTGGTTTCTCTTAGCCTTTGCTGGAAGGCCACGTCTCCCTTTTCTGAGGTGGAAAGAGCCTCTTGCTTTTCAGGGCACTCCCTAGGAACGGCTTTATTGGGAGACCCAAAACACTTGTTTTCATTTTTCTTCCTTCTCCTTCCTACGCCACCCCCCATATCCCCCCAGCTCTCAGGGCCACAGTGGGCAGGAGGATGCTTTCCCAGCCTCACCATGGAGCTGCGCTGTGGGGGATTGCTGTTCAGTTCTCGCTTTGATTCAGGGAACCTAGCCCACGTGGAGAAGGTGGAATCTGTGTCTAGCGATGGGGAAGGAGGAGCAGGTGGGGGGGCATCAGCTCCCATCAGCAGCATTGCCTCTTCCCCTGACTATGAGTTCAACGTGTGGACCCGACCAGACTGTGCTGAAACAGAATTTGAGAATGGGAACAGGTAAGAAGAAAGCAGTAAAGGGTGGAAGGAGGAAAAAAGAGGGGATGTCATGTCCCCCCAACTCCATGCTCAGTTAGCTCTCTTACAGCTTACACCATCGCTACCCTTCCTCTCCCTACCCTCCCTCTCTCCTTGCCTCCTCCTTGACTGAACAGGCCTTCCCCAATTTCGTTTGCTCAAGCTGTCCCACATATCCTCACTCCAAACCTCAGTCTACAGTAACCCGTTTCTCCTCCTCTGGCCCTCAGGTCTTGGTTCTACTTCAGTGTCCGGGGAGGAACTCCAGGGAAACTCATCAAGATCAACATTATGAACATGAATAAGCAAAGCAAGCTGTATTCCCAGGGCATGGCCCCCTTCGTGCGCACACTGCCCACCCGGCCGCGCTGGGAACGCATTCGAGATCGGCCCACCTTCGAGGTAAGTGCTCCATGAGGAGGACAGGCAGACTGGGGTGCTAAAAGTAGAGGAGGGAAAGGAAAGAGGAGTGAGCCTCAATACATCTGCCAGGCAGATGGCACACCAGGTTTTGGTATCTGCTGGAGTCCAAGATAAGCCCCTGCCTCAGGAAGCTAGAAGGAGCCAACTGTCATATGGAAAATCCCAGAGGGAGGGAAATTGGTAACTGTGCTAAGGGTGTAAGATCAGTTCCTGGTGATCCCAGTGGGATCTTCGTTCTCACACCAATGGCCCCTCCCTCTTCCTTTTCTGCTTCTCAGATGACAGAGACGCAGTTTGTGTTATCCTTTGTACACCGTTTCGTGGAGGGCCGTGGGGCCACCACCTTCTTCGCCTTCTGCTACCCCTTCTCCTACAGTGACTGCCAGGATTTGCTAAACCAGCTAGACCAGCGCTTTCTGGAGAACCACCCTACCCATAGCAGGTGCCGACCCCATCCTTACTCCTGCCATACAGTCCTGGACCAGACAGCACCTCTACTACTTCTGGAACTTTCCCCAGGAGCCCTAAAACAAAACATCACCAGTTCTATTTTCTGTACAGAATGTGGGACTTTGGGTACCTTTGACAAATATGTGTATGACCTTGATCTCACCATACCACTACCTACATTCTACTCATCCACCTGCCCAGTTCAAGCCTCTTAATATCCCAGCTCCCATCAGCTATCCAGAACTCAGCACTGCCATTGCTCAGCATACCTTTCTTTCTGTCCCAACAGAGGACAAGCCCTTGTTACACAAAGTGATCTATCATAGGGAGCCATAAACTGGGGAAAAAACAATAAGTTCATCCTGTCCTGTATTCTGCATTCTAGCAATGCAGAATCCTCAGCTTCATTTAACATCACAAGGGACTGTAAGGTCCCAAAGGGTAGGGTAAAAGACCAGATCCTACAAAGCCTAGGCTGGTGATGAAGCTCACCTCATTAGGACTTTAGGGACTTCTCCTGGCTTAATGATTTTTGTCTCCACAGCCCCCTGGATACCATCTATTACCATCGGGAGATCCTTTGCTATTCTCTGGATGGACTTCGTGTAGATCTGCTAACGATCACTTCCTGCCATGGGCTTCAAGAAGATCGAGAGCCCCGCCTAGAGCAGCTATTTCCTGATACCGGCACCCCCCGACCATTCTGTTTCACAGGCAAGAGGGTGAGTGTGAATAGCCTAAAGATAGTACCTTGGCCTTTCCTTAGCTTCAGACCCTGCTGATAGCTTAAGGCCATGTTATCTCTGGGTATCCTTAGTCTGCTTTGGGAGGCAAGCGTGGCCGCTTCTACTCCACTTGCAGACTCAGCCAGCTGGAAATCCAGTGGCTATTCCTGCCCGCCCCTGCCTCCTCTCAGCCCAGAGTATCCTGTTAGAGTGGACCTATAGAGTAACTGGCCTAATGACCGCTCTCCTCTCCACCTCAGATATTCTTCTTAAGCAGTAGGGTACACCCTGGGGAGACTCCATCTAGCTTTGTCTTCAATGGCTTTCTGGACTTCATCCTTCGACCTGATGACCCCCGGGCTCAAACCCTGCGTCGCCTGTTTGTCTTTAAGCTGATTCCCATGTTGAACCCTGATGGTGTGGTCCGGGGCCACTACCGGTAAGAAGCCTCCCCAGCCTGTCAGGATTGTTCCCAGCCCTCCTCGTGTCCTCTATCTCAGTGAAATACTGTCAGCCTCTTCTTTAACTTCTCCTGTATTCCCAATCTTCTTGCATCCGAACAAGGACAAGCCTATCTCGTTGTCCAGGGACCAGAGAAGGAATGTGGCGCATGAGGAACTCTCTGGAAGGAGTAGAATTAGAATAACTGCAGGTTCACCTGCGTAGAGGGAGCTGTGCTTAGGTCTCTAGGGGAGGGGTGACAGCAGATCAAGGAGAGGGCCTGTCCTCAATTCTTTCCTTCCTAATGCAACCTGAGCCTCACTCTGTAAGTTGGTCTACCATGGCCCCTGTTTCGTCCACTCTCACGTCTCCCCCCTGGCTCAGCTGGCTCGACCCTGCTCTAGTCCCTGTCTTCCTACAGCACAGACTCACGTGGAGTGAATCTGAACCGTCAGTACCTGAAGCCTGATGCGGTCCTGCACCCAGCCATTTATGGGGCCAAAGCTGTGCTTCTCTACCACCACGTACACTCCCGTCTGAACCCCCCGAGTCCCTCTGAGCACCAGCACAGTCCTCAGCTCCCTCCTGATGCTCACCTTTCTGACCTCGAGAAGGCCAACAATCTCCAAAATGAAGCTCACCTTGGCCATGCATCTGATGGGGACAACCCTGAAGCCTGGACACAGACCAAGCCAGCAGAGCAGAAGCCCAGCGGTGTGTGGATTATGCCACAACAGTCTGCTGAGCTTGAGCAGCCAGCCCCCGACACCATCCCCCCTAAAGAGAGTGGTGTCGCTTACTATGTGGACCTGCATGGACATGCATCCAAAAGGGGCTGCTTTATGTATGGAAACAACTTTAGTGATGAGAGCACCCAGGTAGGGGTCCACAGAGTATCATGTGAGTGTGGGGATTGTTGCACGTCAAGAGATAAAGGTTAGGCCACGGACAGAGGGAAGGTGGCCTTTTGGCAGGAAGGCCTGCGGCTGCAAGAGGTATTCTTGCCTCTGAACAAGCTTCAAAGGGCCAAGAAGGGATGGCAGTGGGGCTTTGTGTCTCAGGTCTTACATCATGACCTCTGAATGAAGGTCAAGCTATCAGTGTTGTAGTCTTTATTCTAGAGTTTAGGAAATCAGAGGAAAAGGAAAAAATTTGCACTATTGGAGAGAAGAAGCTAAGGGCTTAAAAGGAGGCGGACTTGTACCTTTCCAACACCTGGAAATAACATCAGGCATACAGTGAGAATTCCAAGAACACTGCCGACTGCCAGTGGCTGTAATGGTATCCGCCGTGGGTTTAGTCACATGGTCCCCTGCTTGCCATCTCTTCCTTGCCTATTTCTTCCTTCTCTCCATCTCTCCTGAGTTGCCTTTTTCCTCCCCCAAACAGGTGGAAAATATGCTGTATCCAAAGCTCATCTCCTTGAACTCAGCACACTTCGACTTCCAGGGCTGCAATTTCTCAGAGAAGAACATGTATGCCCGAGACCGCAGAGATGGCCAGTCTAAGGAGGGAAGTGGCCGAGTTGCAATCTACAAAGCCTCAGGGATAATCCACAGGTTGGCTGGAAGCTGGGATGCAGCTGATGAAGCCCCTTCCCTAAGGAAAACAACACCCAGTCTGGACTGTCTGAAGAGCAGGGGTGTAGCCCAAGCCTTCTCAAAAGCCAGGCTTGCCATTAGCATCACTGTCCCTAGTCTGGGACTCTGGTCTTTTGGGGACTTCCTGGGTATGTGATAACAGTGCTGAGGCTAGGGCTTAGCATTTTGTTTGTATGCATTTTTTTTTTTTTCCAAGCGATTACTTCTTAGACCACCTAGGCTGTCCCCCATTGATGGTTCTGTTCTGACTCTGTCCAGGCAGGACACTAATAAAGTCTCTGTGTTTTAGCTACACACTTGAATGCAACTACAACACGGGGCGCTCCGTGAACAGCATCCCTGCCGCCTGCCATGACAACGGGCGTGCCAGCCCCCCTCCCCTGCCGGCCTTCCCCTCCAGATACACTGTGGAGCTGTTTGAGCAGGTATGGATACGTGGGGTGCGTGGTGAAAGGGGGAACCTCCAAGGCCAGAAGGGCATTTACTCCTGTGGCCTGACTCCAGTCCTCTGAAGAGAGGCTCCCCACTGTCACCATCTCCCCACTGAGTAACTTTCTTCAGCTAATCTAAGGGGCAGGCCTGGACCGTACGGTACTGAGAAGACAAGCAGGCACTATTTCTCACCCTATACCACAGAGAATCCCCAGCACATCTGAGTCAGATTCTTTGCCTCTGAGCTTATCTTCCTTCTTCCTGGGCTTACAAGCATCACCTCTACACTGGCCTTGACCTCTGGGGTCCTGGGCACACAAGAAAGGTAGAAAGAGCTGCAGGTTATAGAAAAGATGGAAACAGCTTCTCCTGCTGGGAGTACCCCTTCCTGGTACCAGCCAGAAAACCTACCTGCTCTTGCCCAAAACGAGCAGTAGTCCAGGAAGCAGCTTTCGCTCTGCTGAGATAAACAGCACTGGCACAAAATGTAGGTTACCCACTGAGAATATCGGAGGCCTGACCTGGCCTTCTCTTCTGCTGCAACCCACCCCAGCACCGCGGCCTAGGGCGGGAACCCAGACACTGAGCCATGTGGGACTCCCCACAGGTGGGACGAGCTATGGCCATTGCAGCTCTGGACATGGCCGAATGCAATCCGTGGCCCCGAATCGTACTGTCAGAGCACAGCAGCCTCACGAACCTCCGTGCCTGGATGCTGAAACACGTGCGCAGCAGCCGTGGCCTGAGCAGCACTGTGAACGTGAGTGTCAGCAAGAGGAGAGGCTCTCGCACGCCACCCAAAAGTACCAAGTAAGACCCGCAGGGCGGGAGGAGGAAAGGGTAGGAAAGTGGAACAGGGCTCTAGAGCAAGGAGTTCCAAGGAATATTTTCAGAGTAAATTATAATTGGTAAGATTAATGCATTTTTTTTTTGAAGCTGGGATCCTCTTCCCTTTTACCTCAAGCGACATACTTCCTAGGCATCTGAAAACCAGGTTAGGGGATTCCCTGCTCCAGAGCCCTGCACAGAATTAAATCTAATTGCGATGGAGGTGGGGGCGGGTCTTGGCTTCCAACGGTTGGGAGTGACGACAGGTCCAAGGGCTGACACTGAAGGAATAAGGTGGGGAGCTCACCGAGAGTTAAAGCTGCCCAGAGAGCCCCATAGCTCTTAGAACACTTTCTGCAGAACAGGTATGTGTGAACAAGGGCTCTGAGGCATTCTGAGATCAGCTGGTATGCCCTAGGTTAGACACTGTCATGGACACAAATTTCTCCCTTCTCCCTTGCAGTGAGTCCCTATGCTTATTACCCCAGGGGTGAAGCTTTACTGAGCATCAGACCATGGGGAAAGCCTTGGGACACAACCTCCCTGACCCAGGGTTAACTGGCATCTGCTTCTTTGCAGCGGCTTGCCTGTTTCCTGCTCTGAAAATCCCTTGAGCCGAGCACGCAGTTTTAGCACTGGCACAAGTGCTGGTGGCAGCAGCAGCAGCCAACAGAACTCTCCACAGATGAAGAACTCCCCCAGCTTTCCTTTTCATGGCAGTCGGCCTACAGGGCTGCCAGGTCTGGGCTCTAGCACTCAAAAGGTCAGCCACCGGGTGCTGGGCCCCGTCAGAGGTAAGCCAGTCTGGGAGCCCCTGCAACAGGTGTTCAGTTGTTTGGGGCACTGCTGGGGGAAGTGAGAGCTTGAAGATATATGCTTGGCTGGGACCAAGGGGTGAATCAATAAAATTAGTTTATAGCAGAACCTGCAGCCTCTCCTGCGACCTTGGTGTTCCCTGCGCCATGAGCTCCAGCTCCAGAGCAGTACTGTGCATAGCCCAGGCGGGAGTCCTGGGCACCTGGACTTTGGCACATGCTGGGGAGCAGGGGGATCTCCAGGGACAAAACACAAGCTGAAGTAGGGCCACATTCCAGTGCAGAGCCTCCACATCAGGGATGGTGCCAAGGCTGTCTTGTAGGGAGCAGTATAAGGAAATGTCCTCACACTGCAGACTGCAGCGATATAGAGCCGGAGACCCCGATTCAAGGTCTCTCTGGGATGAAACTGTTCCTGGCTTCAGAGCCTACTCAGCGGTATGAGGATTCCAGCTCTTCCACAGAAAAATGGAACAACTACAGACAGCTTCTGTTTGAGGCTTACAAAGCAACAGTCTGGCCTCATCCAGCAGTGGCCACAGCCACTCAACTGGGTATCAGTACCCCTAGGCCTGGCTTGAGGACACCCTGCCTGATAAGAGATTCTGGGTTCAAATGTGTAACAGAAACAGGTGGGCCTTAGGGAAAAAGAAGAGGAAGGACTATGGAACCATTCCTTGGGAGTGACTCTGACTTTGGTGCAGCGAGATCGTTGTAGTGCCACTTCTAGAACACGAACTCCCAAATCAGTATTGTACGTGGCCTCTGGGCTGGAGAAATCCTGCCAGAGCATGGAGGTTTGTAAGCTGGAGCTAAGAGTCCTGCAGGGTCTTCAAGCTGCACTTGTCCTCATTAGCACTTCCCCTGGTACAGACCAAAAGCACACATTGGGCTAGTGGGCGTGGCAATCTGACTGCACTGGTTAGAGCAGCCACAGGAGAGAGAGCAGTGGTCCTAAGCATCGTTGACCAGGAAGACGTTTTAGCCCTGATAAGCAACGCAGTTACCCCCACGTATGTTCCAAGCCCCATTCCTTGAGATTCTCCCCACCATGGGGAGAGGATGCTTTTGTCCACTGTGTTTGAAGGACAGTATGAAAGAATAATGCCCTGTATTTAAATAGCATTAAACCGTGAACAAAACAGTATTACGTATATATTTCATTTGATCCTCACAAGGACCTGTGGTATGGATGGTGTTTCCATTTTTCTGGTGAGAAAACAGAGGCTGTGGAAGGGTCACTTGTCCAGGATTTCACAGCTATCAGTAGCTGAGTTATTCATACTTTTTACTATTCAAACTTCCTCTAATTTCTTGTCCTTTTTTCTTTTCTTTCTTTTGCGTCAGTCTCTCATATCTCTCCACTCATAGTTCCTGGTAAGGAATGTCAGCATCCTAAATTCCCCTTCCCTGACTACAAAAGAGAAATAGGAAAGAATCCTCTCCAAGTCCAGGTCCTCACCGGAGGACTCTAGGCAGTTTTTAATCAGTATTTTATTATCAGCTCCACCCCCACCTCAATGCAGAGTGCTGTATGAAGCTCCTTCAGTGAGGGACATGTATTTGTGTCTTTTTTACTTCCCCCAAATAGCTAAGAGAAAGGGGCATATTTGGGACTAAGTAAGTATTTCCTTACAGGAAACAGACCCAAGACAGTACACAGAACAGAGAAGCACACACTCATTATAACATGGGACTTGAGGAGCCACCGTCCTAGATAAACTCAAAAGTAATCAGCCAAAGAGCATTCAGTCGAGAAATGGTTTTGAAGAATGTGTGGTAGTATACATCCTGATAAAAACATTCCAGAGATGAGAATGGTAGCCAGGACCAGCGCTGCTACATAGAGAGGACAAGAAGCAAATATACCTAGCTGGCTCAAAGGGCCAAGCCCTTCAAGCACAGAAATTAGGTGAAGAGAGGTAGGAGGAAGAAGTTGAAATGTCTTGAAAACAAAGATGATGAGTTAAGACATACAGCAATGATTGTGTGCTTCAGAGGATGATGGGAACAAAAGATTTATGGAAGAGTAGCTGTGAACTCTATGTATCAGGCAGGCAGGGGGAGGGGAATCCTCACCATAGTACATATATGAGATGACTAATGGCTGTACCAGGGACGGGCAAGGAGGTGAATATACGTATCAGAAACAGAGGCGGCAAGGTTCAATGATGGTGGAAGAAGGGCCAACTAAAAGCTTCAAGGCTACAGGCCAAAGGAAAGAATCATGGTGATGTTAGGACATTGGAAATAAAGTGCTGAGGCTTATCTATTTTTTAAGGATTTTATTTATTCCTGAGAGAGACAGAGAGAGGCAGAGACATAGGCAAAGGGAGAAGCAGGCTCCCTGCGGGGAGCCTGATGTGGGACTTAGTCCCAGGACCCCAGGATCACAACCTGAGCCAAAGGCAGACACTCAGCCACTGAGCCACCCAGGTGCCCCTAGGTTTATCTATTTTAGACATGCTTGGATGTCGTGGGCTTTCTATATGGAGATATCCTGCAGGCAGAAAAATCAGCCTGTAGAAAAGGTTGGATCTAGGCATCATCCACAAACTCAAGTAAAGCTAGTGATAAGCAATGTCCCCCCCAGGTCAATGAGCTAAGAAGCAGAAAAAAAGAGCTGGCTTGAATAAGAGACACGTGGGGACTTGCGTAAATATTTGTAAGACCTGACAAACTATGTGTCTAAAGTCATAGAGGGTTGGAAAGGGGGTTACTAATGATACCAAACAGGAATACTGTAAGGAGGTGAAAGGTCAGAGTGCTGGAATCTTGACTTCAGGTGCTACAATTTTTGCTGCTTCAATTCCTACAGTCCCTAATAGGACTCCAAAAAAGACTGGCTTAGGATAGGGACCTGCGATGTAGACTGTGGTATTTGGACTTGGCATCTTCAACCAACCCTCAGAAAAACAACTTTGTCCAGTTGATCAGTCCTGTAGCTTTGCACTATTTCCTGGTTCGACATATCCGGCTCTTTAGCCCCTGCCACACCCAGGCACCGTGTCTTCTAAGATAGGAAGAACACAACTCCCGTATCTCTGAGACCTAACTATAAAGCAGCTATACTTTCCAAACCCAAAATTGAGATTGTGACTTAATATTTTTTTTCTGACTTGTAAACTAGTATATTTTTTCCACTAATGTATAAAAATCATATCACACTTAACTATACATTTAATTCATGACTGTCCTTTATTGGCTAAAACAGAGGGTGAGACTGGGCTATCCAGAAAATTTCCGAAAATATCTAAGCAGCCAGAAGCTTAAGGCAGAGGTTCAGGAGAATAGTCTCATCATCTCAGGCCCTATCCTCAAAGCTGGAGAGTGGCATTTTAGAAGGCCAACGTATAGAGGAACTCCAGGTGAACGGGAATATTCCTGGGACAGTAGGCTGCAAGAGACTCCGATGAAGCCTTGACCCCTACCATCCTCTGACCACAGAGACAGGAGCTTCTTTACTGAGTTCCCCCAGCTGCACAACAGGTCCTGAGCAGCAACCTTCCTGGCTCTGCAGTCAGGCTTCCATCCAGCAGGAGCTAGCAGCAGCTCTTGCTCCAGAAGAGGGCGAGGGCAAAGGAATAGCTAGTCCAATGACTGAGTCAGGGAAGCCAAAAGCCCCTAAGATACTGGTACAAAAGGAGACACAAACAGAGCTCGAAGGCAGGCATGCTGGGGAGAGAGTGGCTAAGTCAGACAGCTTCTCCTAGCAGTTATGCAGGGCATAGGATGAAGGTGAGGCCAGTGGGTCGCCCAAGGATCAGGGTCAGGCCAAGACCTTCTCAGATCATGCACCCCAGGTACTTTATTCTCATCCTGGCCCTGGATTCAGGCCAAGTCTCACTCAATAACTGAAACTGGTCTACCTGGCGAGATCCTGGTATAAACGACAAGGGACGATGTCAAAGTGGAGGCCATCAGTTGGCATCCTACCACCGCCACTGTCCTCCCTCTCAGCTCTGGCACATCCACTGTAGTTACTAGAACTCTTCCCTGGCTGCCTCCATGCCGTGGCTCAGCTGCCAGGCCACTCTTGGCAGAGCAGCTCAAGCCCCACGGTGGAGTGGAAGTTCCTTTGAAAAGTGACTCAGAGGGCATAGGAAGAATGCCTTGAGCACCATCACTAGTTTCATGGGAGAGAGCAGATTAAAGCTTATTTGAGGGCAGGTAATGTCTCCTAACATCTGTTTATTCCCTTAGCACCTAGCACTTATTAAATGATCAATAAATACATATTGAATGAATAAAAGGCAAGAAGCAGGGGGCCGAATAAATACTTATCTCACCTTTCCACCCTTCAGAGGGCATAAATCCGGTCTGTGATCATCCCAGCAATTCGGGAAGATCTAAGGTGCTACACGTAGGGACAGTTCCAAAGATGTCTCAGGATGATGATGCAAGACCCAGGCCCAAGCCAGAAAAACCACTCTTCTAAGTCATGAGACTTTTAAAATATCCATTCTGACTCCTGCACCAGTGAGGGCAGTCTGCCTCTACCTCAGACCTTCACCCTAGAACTATTCCAAAATGGAATCTCTAGCTGATTACAATAAAGTACAGTCTCACAACCTCTGGAAGCAAAGCTGATACACATATCACTGCACTCAGCCTTAAGCCACTGACTCTTTACCTTAGAACCAAGAAATAAAACAGAGCTAGGGCTCCTCCCTTAAACAGTCTCGAGGACTGAGTAGGCCTGGATTATACCAGGGGCCAAAAGTCAAAACATGAGAAATTAGGCTGTGTGCTCACATTGCCAAATTTACAGGCAGGCCCAGCCAGGTTTTAAGATGGTCTAAGTGTGGATTAAAATGCTATCTTTAAATGCCTTATCCTTTCAATATTAGGCCTCTCTCCTAAACCAAACTGGTCTCCCTTCCTTAAACTCTCATTAGGGGCAGGATTCTTGAGTTGTATCCATAGTATCTTTCCCAGAATACCTACATTCACGCAGACACTTTTTACGTCACACGCCTGTTTTGCTTCATTACCTTCTAGAGCGCTACTCAGTTCTTGCTACAACCTACAAATGTTCCAAAAACTTTCACTTGCTTTCTTACTTGCCCTCTTTCTTACCTTTCCTGGGTGGGTGAGGCTTCATCCTTTAACATAATTTCAGCATACTTCTGTGTATAGGTATTCCCTCAGACCCTCTAGAAACCCACTATTTCCATCCAGTTCACGTTCATTTCTGCCTATTATGCACTGTCATTTGGACATTATCCTGATTATCACTGTTTTACTAAAGAATTACCCAGGTCTGGGTTCTACATTATTTCTCAGTCAGTGGTGATTAGAGGCTTCAGGTTGCCTGAAGCCGTGAATCTCTGACTTCTCTTGTCCTTCACTGCTATGTCACCTCTTATTAGCACCATAAAGTCTGTTTGTTGTGGTTTGTTTATTATTGATGTAAAGTTGACAGGTCTGGTTATTTTGACTCTTGGCTCTACTTTTGACTCTTGACTCAGCATCTCAACAAACCTTTCAGAGCCAAAATAGCTTCTGTCCTAAAATCTCTTTCTTTCTTCTGTTCCTTATTCATTTCAGTATCAATCTTTAAAAATCCGGTTGGGGACTTCCAAAAAGTAGCCTTGTCACTGCTAGCTACTGCACAGTATAGCTGGACAAGACGAAGTTATTGTCACCTACTTTCTGAATTAGAGGTATTTTCTGTCTGATACATGTTGCTTTGTTGGGGGCCACCTGGCATCCTGGGACCTCCACTGAATTCAGCTCCATGAAGGTTAACAGCTCATCTGGTCTGAGAGCAATAAGCATCTGTTGTCCCTCTGTGATGAGGAAGGGCCTGCCAAATCTGAAAGCCTCCCTACCCCATCCAGCCACCATCTGCTCTCAGAGCTTGTGGCAGTGAGGCTTTAGCCACAAAGTATGAACCAGAGAGAACTGCCACACAGGTTATAAGCATATGTCCTTGAACTCAGAGAGATTCTTGAGTCAGCCTGTGGCCTACAGTGGGTGTTTGCTATTCAGGAAAACAAAACCTTTACTAAAGTCTCTAGTTCTCTAGGCAGAATTTTGTAGGCACCAGGACATATAGACTGGAAAAGACAAAGTCTCTATCCTCAAGAGGTTCAAGCTCCAAGTAGAATACTAGTTAAGATTTATTGAATACTACTTCTAGGCACTATCATAACTACTTTACATGTACTAACTCATTTCATTAAGGAAACAAAAACCATAAAACAATTACTACTCAAGTGAACCAAGGACAATGAAGGGGGGAGAACAGTTCATTCTACCTGTGATGGTAAAGGAGGTTTCACAGAGGTGACATTTGAGATGGGATGTGTAAAGTTTGACTAGAAGAGGGGACAGACATTGCAGATGAGCCACACAACTAGCAGCCACAGGAGCTACAGTGGAAGGTATGAAGGATCAAGTCAGCATCCTACCAATGATGGGTTCACTGAATCCACAATGGATGGAGCCATGTTAAAGGCCAAAGGCCATGTTAAAATGAAAAGGTTGAGAATTTATCCTTTAAAAGACCTTCAGTATCTCCCCTTTACCTGAAACCAAATGAGTTTTCATTCAGGCACCTGTGTGAAAGATGGAGTGTAAAAGGAAAGAGGTAGGGCAACCAGCAGGAATTTTTTTTTCCCCAAAAGCCTGAATGAGAGACAAAGACCTCTGTCTGGACACTGGCCATGGCAAGGGAGAATGAAGAAGAAATCCAAGCAAAGGCAGAGGTGGTGTTGTCCAGATTTGGTTAAACACAAATCTAAATGTAAGCAAGGAGTCAAAAGATGAACAAGGTTTCTAGTTCATTTTTCACCAAGATAAGAACAGAAGAAAGGATGGGAGAAAATGAGTTTTGCTGGAGTCATGAGAAACTACCCAGTAGAAATGCCAGTAGACCACTGACCTTTCTAGGGAAAGGGCCAGAGAGCAGTTTGGGAGTTTAAGAGTATACCAGAGCAGGAGGGGACCAAGGGTAGACTGGGCTGAGGCAGAGGGGTGGGGGCGGGGGCACACTGGCATTTAGGGACAGGAAGAGGAGATGAAGAGGGGCAATTAAGAGGCAGGAGAACCTAGAGGAGCTATGTTTCAGAAGCCAAGCTCAGTGAGTTCTCTGCCAGAAGAATGAACTGGCAAGTGAGTAGGCTGGTTAGCCACACGGAGGTGGGTAAGAGCTGGCTGTGGCCTGGATAACTGGGATAAATGTCAGAGGTCTTTCTACCCATCTTAGATTTACTTCTGAAGTGGGGTGCTGGTATAAGGACAAGCTTGAGAGCCGATATCCTCTGAGCAGGGGCCCCAGCAGGGCAGTGGAGTACCAGGGCCTCATCTATTTGCCCTTTAATCTCCTGTGTCCCTTCTGCTCAGAGCCCCGAAGCCAGGACAGGAGACGGCGGCAGCAGCCACTGACCCATCGCCCTACTTCAAGCAGCCTGGCCCCATCCCCAAATCCTGCTAGCTTTAGCCCAGTCTCCTCACACAGCATGAGCTCCTGTCTGCTGCCCAGCTCACTCAGCATATCAGGTCTGTACCCACTGCCACCAAAATCTAGGTTGGCCAGCCTCCTTCCTTCCCTAGCACCAAGGGTATAGACCAGTCTCTCTATGAGGCTTAAATCAGTCCCTTCAGCTCCTTTGCTACCTGACCTGGACATCTTTCTTGACTTGATGTAAGGTGGCCCTCTGCACACCAGGAGCATCAGTTAACATCCTGGATTATCCTAAACCCCTAAAGCACCTATGTCCTTGTACAGGAAGCTGGAACTGTCTTTGAATAATAAAATAATAGTTACCATTTCTTGAGTGTCTACTATGTGGCAGGCACTGCTCTAAGCACATTACCTCACTTAATCCTCATTTTCAAAGTTGAACCTGACTACCTGCTACTTTTTTTTTTTAAACTTTTTTTTAATTTTTTTTTTATTTATTTATGATAGTCACAGAGAGAGAAAGAGAGAGAGAGAGAGAGAGAGAGAGAGAGAGAGAGAGAGAGGCAGAGACACAGGCAGAGGGAGAAGCAGGCTACATGCACCGGGAGCCTGATGTGGGATTCGATCCGGGGTCTCCAGGATCGCGCTCTGGGCCAAAGGCAGGCGCTAAACCGCTGCGCCACCCAGGGATCCCCTACCTGCTACTTTGAGCTTCCTGACTCCAGGAGTTGGGCAACATTAGACAAAACAGAAGAACGAAAAAAGGCATAGGCCTTTCACCTGTCGTCACGGCAAATGCTGCGTAACCATATCACCCACATAAAACCTAGGCTGCCTGGTCTCCTTTTAAGTTATACCCCTAGCTGTGTAAAGGACTGGAGAGGAATGAGACATAAGACTCCAGTCTAACATCCTCTAATTCCCTCAGAGCCTGCTACTCCCAACCTGTCAACTGTCTTCAATGGGTAGCCCTCAATCCACCAATCTTGGGTACTAATATGATCCTTAAACACTCATTTGGATGGGATAGGCTCTAAGGTCTATAAATTCACAGAGCAGTTCAGCCCTGTGGGCTCTGATTCAAGCTCCAAGTTGCTACTACAGCCCTTGGACCAGACTAGAGCATGCCATGCTCTCAACCAGGGGCCCTTTTATCCACTAGGGAACATGTGGCAAGGTCTGAAAGACATGTCTGGTTGTTTTGATGGGGACAGGGCAGGGGAAGAAGATATGCTATCTAGCGGGTTGAGGCCAGGAAGGCTGCTAAACATTCTACAATGCACAAGACAGCCGCCCACAACAAAAAATTATCCAGCCCCAAATGTCAATATTGCCAGGACTGAGAAACCCTGATCTAGAGGAAGTTACCTCTCCTTTTCCACACTCCACTACCCATGATAGCAGTTTCCTTTGTTTCCTAGGGAGCAGCTGCTCATTCATGTCCTCAGGGGACAAGCCAGAGGCTGTCATGGTGATTGGGAAAGGGCTGCTGGGACCTCGGATCCCCTGTATCAGGACACGATTGCAGGTAACATTTTTGGGTCTTCCCCAGCCCCCAGCAAAACAACTCTGGCAGAGCCTAGCAAGGCACTGTTCATCTGGGTAGTGGGAGGGAAAATGCTCAGCACTGCTTTACAACCTCTCCCCTCAACCATATCAGAAAGCTACCTTGCTGCCTGAGTGCCTCTGTCTGTCCAGTGTCCCCAGTCCCTTCAGCCAGGTCCACCCATGTCCCTGCCAGATATAACCCAACCTCAGCCTGCTAGCTTTGGCTCTGCCTGCCCCTGCCCTTAGCTTCTCCTTTCTTTCTGCCCAGACCTGCCCGAGGCGAGTTCCCGCCAGGAGGGGTCCCGGATTCCCCAGGTAACACATCTGGTTGCTGCTCCTAAGAACAGCTGTGCCACCAACTCCAATTCAGTCCAGATCCCCAAGCTAAATTGGCTTAAGCTGGGTAGAGGCAGAGGCCGATGGGTGAAGCCTAAGCTGCTCTTGCAGGGGCTGAGGGACACAAGGCTCTGAGGGAGCATCTACCGATTCTCCAACCTCTTTCCATACACTGCTTCTCTGTCTAGCCAAATGTTAGCCATGATACAGCTGTGGAGATTAAATGCTGGATCTTCTGCCTCCCCTACTTAAGTAAGACTTGGAGTGAATAGTCACAGACTGTTGACACTTATTATACTACACTCTTACCCATGGAAATTCTAGAAGCAAACTCAGAAGCAAAACAGTTAAAGGAAGAATACAGCCTCTTAGCCCACCCCCTATCCATACAGGCTAGGCCCAGGTTGGGCCGGGGCTCACCGCCGACTAGCAGAGGGATGAGCGGCTCTGCGGGCCCCACATCCCCTATACCCCGGACCAGGGAGAGCAGTGAGCCGGAGCCGGGACCCCACTCTGCACCAGGGTGAGCACCCGGGTCCAGTCCCTCACCCCACCTCACTTCTGTCCCTTTACTCCCATTTCTGCCATTCAGGATCATTTTCTTCCTTCCCTACTCCCTCTGACCCCCCCCCCCCCAAAGACTAAAGGTACTTTCATTAAGAATCTCGTCCCTGATTTTTTTTTTTCTCCATCATGGCCTGTCTTCACTCCAGCGGACAAGAAAACAACTTCTTGTTAGGGCCTAAGGCCTAGGAGCTGGCTCATTCCAGCATCAGCCCACTGTGCAGTACTCAATCTCTCTATCCTTACCCATCTCATCTCTCCCATCCCCTGGCAAACAGGCCAAAAGAGGGGCAGAGTTTTCACAACCCTCATTCCTCTCTCTTCTCTGTTGCAGGCTGCCTCAGGCCGGGCCCCCACGGCCCCGCTCTGCCCCTGCCTTTTCTATTTCCTGTAGTCTATCTGACTCCCAGTCCCGGATTTGTTACAGCGGGGGGCCCTTGGCCCAACCTGAGGTTTGTTTTGTCCCTAAATCTCCTCCACTCACTGTCTCCCCCCGGGTCTGATGCCTCAACCTTGATGTCCAGGATATAGCCCCAAGATGGGGAACGCAGTGAGGAATGTGCTAGTCCCCTCCCTCAGCTGTTGATTCCATGTGACAACCATAACTTCTTGGATGCCAGCCACACTGTTCTGAGGCATTGCAGAGCATCACCTTGAGACAGGACAAAGCAGGAACCTGCTACCCCATCCCCCCCCCCACAGCACAAGATTTTGGGACCACAAAAAATATATATCTATATTTTTATATTGGGGGGAGGGAGTAGAAAAGAAATCCCCTATACTGGGCCCTATTCAGTGGCAGCTTCTTGTTCCATAGGGTTAAGGAAGACTTTGAGGAAATAAAAGTTGTTTGGAAAAATCCAGGTGTAGTTGCTTTGTATGTTGTGATGGGTAGAGGGATGAAGTGAAGTGGGAAGGCCCCTCATACCCTCCATCTTGCCTCAGACTATGTCCTGGAACCCTAGAAAAGAGGGGGAAAGACCCAAGGTAAGGAAAATACTGCAACTTTCCTCTGGAGAAATCCTTCAGGCATCAACTCCCATCCAGCCTGTTCCCCCTTTACATTTCGGACCCACACTTAAAGCTCCCCCACACCCCCGCTTCTCTCTAGGACTTGGGTCTACAGTAGCCAACCCGTCACTCAGTGCCTCTTGCCCCAGAACACAGAAATAGAATTCTCCATCTTTACAACCACACACACACACACACACACACACACACACACACACACATTCTGCCTAAATAAAAGCCTAAACAACCTTAGAGAAGTGAGGGCTACTTAAGGGAAGAGCCCAAATCCTCATACTTGGATAGACAGCATCCTCAGCACCTTTATTCCTACTGGTGTCAGTGCCTCCTTGTATCCAAACCCCCAACTTGGGCATCGGGGTACCATGAAGACGGGGGCTGAGAAGGATTAGGAAACTCGCCCCCGTTCTAGCAGGGAGCAGTTTAACGGGTAGAGGGCAGGGCACTGAAAGGCACTCCCTACCGTGTGCGGATAAGGGGGCTCAGTTCTGGACTGTATCATGCTTGGCCCGACACTTTCTGATTTGAAGTTTCGAACCCTGCAGGCCCTGGCGCGGCCTCGCCACTCCACTCTCCGGGGGCTGGGCGCTACTGCCCCGGACCGTTACCTGGGGCGGAGAAAGCGCCACTTTCATTCCTGCTTCTTGGGATTGTTGACGGCCACGTAGTGATAGAGAACGACAAGCAGGAAGAGCGACACGCCCAGCATGTTGGCGAAGATGGCGAGCTGTACGTCTGTGATCATCCTGCGAAGAAGAGGAGGGGCTGAGCCTGAAGCCGGAGCACTCCTCGCCCAGGCCGGGGCCGGTCCTCGCCCCCAGGACCAGCCACCGCCAAGGCGCTGTGGAGCGCGCTTGCGTGCTTCTCACCTGACCGGCTGGGCTCCCGGCGACGCGGTCTGCGCAGTAGCTCGAGGTAAGAGTCCCGGCCCGGAAGTTGGTAGCGCGAGCGCAAGCCCAAACCAGGCACTTCCGGCTGTGCCGCTCGGCCGGAACGGGCTCTCTAGCCCCGCCGTCTCGCCTGCTCCCCGCGGCGCATCGCAGGGGGCGGGGCCAGGGGCGGGGCTGCGGAGGGACGGCCTGCCGTAGGGGGCGGGCGGGCCGGCCGCGGACGCGCGTCTAGGGCCCGCGGAGCGCAGCTGGCCACAGCTGGCTGCAGCTGGCGCGGCAGGGGACGCAGCAGGCCAGTGGCGGCCTCCTCGGAGCCCAGCGGCGGGCTAGGGCGAGGGTGCGGCGGGGTGGCCGCGTGAGACGCTCGGCCCGACCCCCCTTCCTGCCCTGGCCCCCCGCGCTGCTGCCCACCCTCCGCTTCCCGGCTCGGCCCAGCCAGGTGCTTCCTTTGGGCCCTGCCCTCAGGGTCCCCTCCCTGACTCCCGCAGCGGAGAGGGGGGTGAGAGGAGGTGCAGACTGGGGAGAGAGCTGGGGCGGCTGGGTGCTCCTCTCCTCGGTGCGCCCCTTTTTGCCCCCACATCCGCCAAGTGGAACGATCCCGCCTGTGATCTGACCGGTGCCTCCCTAACTCGGGCTCGCTCCCTCCACCCCACCCCCGGAGGTGGGCGTCGGAAATAGGGCGGACCCTCCGGGAATCAAAACCCAAACCGTGGGACTTGAGCCAAGTGGGAAATCACCCCCCGGATGGGAGGGAGGGAGGGGCAAGGGGGGGAAGGGCTGGGACGACCCAGAGGGGTTGTGGGTTCTGAGCAGAGTGGATCGCTGGGGAGAAAGAAAACTCTGGGTAGATGTCTGAGGGTCTCTGGTGAGGGGAGAAGTATTGGAGCTCTACAGCCCTCTGCCCCAGGGAGATCCTACTCCCCCCCCCGCCCCCCCTCACTGCTTACTTTCCCTCAGCTTCACCATAAAAGGGAACGGCACGGAGCCAGGCTGGGGCCGGGGGCTGGGCTGTTGCTCTGGAGCTGTCAGGGGTAATGGAAGCCAGTTGCTTTGCGGTAGAGGGGGGCCAGGGCTCAGGGGACGCCTCTGCTTCTCTGAGCCAAGGACAACTACAGGAGCCGCTATGGGACTGGAACAGCTGGGGCAGGGGACTGTCTTGCTGCCTGTGTGCACCATGAGCTAGGGGTGCACTAGCCCAGAGCTGGCTTCCCTGGCCTGACACCATCAACAGTTTGTCCATGCTCCAGCCCGGAGACTTCTAAGCTCAGTCTCAGCAGTCTGTAATCCCCCTGGCTTCCCCCATTTCACCCCCCAGCCTCCACCCAGTATTTCCCAGAAGTTTCCTATTTAGAATCCCAAGCCCATGTCCCCTCCACACAATAGTGAAACCCCAGTCGTATACTTCCTCATGTCCCTCACAGAGTGGTATGTCTGTTCCCAGCCCTGCTCTGGGAGAATGAGGGTCTAGGTCTTAAAGGATTACACACATTGTGCTTTGTGGCTCCTGGAAATTTGAAGCAGATCCAATTCCAACCAGACACTTAGATCTACTGTTAAGACAGAACTAGACCCTGGAAAGTAGGCTTCCTAGACTACAAATGACAGGGGAGGCCTTGAAAGTGCTTCAGATTTCCAAGGCTGTCCTGAAACCAACTGACCTTAGACTTTCCAAGCTGAAGGGAGCCTTCAAGATCGTTTTACAAAGAAGGAAACTGAGGCCCAGAAGGTAATTGATTTGACCAGGATTTTACAAATGGTTCAAAACTGTCACCTGATCCACTTTCCTCTATTCCACAATCTGTGTCCAACTTTGGACTCGATGTGTTATCCTAGGGTCAAGGACAAGAGGAAAAGGATTTGTTTTGGAACCATCTAGAAATGTCCTTCACCTCCCAGAATTTGCTGTGCCTAGGTCAGCGACTCTTTATCAGTCTTGAATAGGTCATTTGGCCTGCTGCCTGGAGGAACCGAAATTAAAAATGGTCCCCGGGACTAAACTAGACTCCTCTAAGAACTAACAAAGCTTGAAGAAAGCTTGGATGGAAAAATATGTGGGAAGTAAGATGGGCAAAGCCTCACCCTTGGGGGAACTGGAGGAAGGAGAGAATTTGGGGGAGGGGCATATGCGGACTTAATCTCTGCAGTTAGTGTGACATTTTCTTGTCTTTTTTCTAAAGATTTTATTTATTTATTCATGAGAGATAGAGGGAGAGACATAGGCAAAAGGAGAAGCAGGCTCCCCAGAGGAAGGCAATATGGGATACGATCCCAGGAACCCCATCACAACCTGAGCCAAAGGCAGATGCTCAGTCACTGAGCTACCCAGGCGTCCCTGTGTGACATTTTCAAGAAGATACGAGTTTAGGATTAGGGTGAGAAATGAGAAAGCAACAAGACCTGGGAAAGGGGATTGGTTCTTAAAGTATTGTACCTGTGGGAAGAGTTGGAAGGAAAAAGAACATGTATGCATTTGAGTAGGAGTGGACTTTTGCTCAAGAGTACACACAAGCTTGAATTCCGATCTGGGTTTGCATAACCCAAGGCCCAATTCATATTATTCTCCATTTTTTCCTCCCAGTATTCAGTTCTCTGACAGAGAGCATTAGACAAGAAATGTTCCTTACTGCAGGCGACCTGGGCTATCCCAGCCTCAGGAGCACGTTGCTCAGCCACTGATGGCTGACTGAATGAGTTAGTTGCCCAACATAGCCAATATTTCCCATTGGCACTAGGCCCTTGAAAATCCCCTATTTTGGAAAGGTTATAAAATAGATCTTGTCCTAGTGCCCCCAAGGACTTAGCCATTTTTGATCTTGGGAATTCTCTGGTCAGTTGCTTTGGAAATGTGTGGCTACTTGTCAATACCACCACCACCACCAGTGCATTTTGTCTAAACTTTGTCTCCATTGCGGCCTGCTTGCCCAACACCTCAAGCCTCCCCAGTGAACCCAGAGCCACTGATTTATTTGAGGTATCACAAATATTCATGTCAGCCCCTAGGTCTTGGCTCCTAATTACAGGACTAAATGAAATGCAACCTACTGCAATTGTATTTCAAAGCCAACATTTTTGGCTTGACACACTTAAAATATAACAGATTTTTAAACTTAAGGGAGGCGCCCCCTTAAACCTAAGGAAAGAGTGACAACCAGGCAGTGACAAGATGGCTGGGATGACTGCAGGTTGTCAGAGGCTGCCTGAAGGGAGGGGGGTGCACAAGAACCAAGAGAGAAAACTCACAGCAGCAGCCAGGGCCACCTGAAGTGGCTTGGCTTCTAGACAGGGCCAGGGCCTAGAACTGATGCAGAGACCAGGAACAGTGCAACAACTGCCCACTCTCAGCAGCTCTCAAATCAGGATCTCTTGGGACTGTTTCCTTCAAATATCCCACAAATGTCCATTTCTGTGGGTTGGAACATTCACTTTCACTCATCCTTTCTTTTGCCAACATTTCTCCCAGCCACCGAGATCCCATACTGGGCCAGAGAACCTCAGAGGTACATCACTCAGAGTCACAATGAAGATTTGGTGGCATCTGTGCTAATGGCTTCCAACTATTGCCCTGCACATGGTTCCCAGAACCAAGACCTACATCTCTGACCATCTCCTGCACATTTATTGCCATCGAGCTACGTTTTTCTGATCTTGAACTCAGTAAGTCCAAACTAAGGTCATCTTTTTTCCAGAGCTGTTGCTCGCCTTGACTTCCCCACCCTGGCTCAAACCACAGAATCTTCTGTATTGTCTCCCTTTCTCTGGCCCCTCCTTACCCAGGTAGTCCCCAGGAAACCATGGCCTTCTCTTTCCAGGCTACATCACTTTGCCATTTCCAAGGCACCTGAAACAATAGCTGACAGACCTCCAGAAGAGTCATGGCATTTGTTCCAAGTGATAACAGTACTTAGAGGAGGAGCTGGAACCAGTGTCCATGGGCCTAAAACCCTGCACATTGCTCTTGCCTGCCATATCTTCTTTCTGCAGGCATATCGAGCTCCTATTGAAAAGCTTGTAATCCAAGCTCTTAACCAGTCATTTGGGCCTGTCCCAATTTTTCCACAATCAGCTTCTCTGACTTCCTGACAACAGCTAACTTTTACTGAGCATTTACCATGTGCCAGGTGCTATTCTAAATGCTTTACATGTATTCACTTAATCCTCCCAAACCTAGGAAGGAGGGTGCTGTTATGATTCCCATGTTGAGCAATGAGGAAACTGAGGCAGGCCTCTTTCTCCAGCCTCTAGTCTCTCCCCTCCCCCATCTCTGTTTTTCACTTTCTTTCCCCAACACTGTTCTGCCTCTCTCTCTCTCTCTCTCTCTCTCTCTCTCTCTCTCTCTCTTCCAACGGCTCAACTCTGACTCCCCGGAGCATCCAGCTGCCTTTCCCCTCCCCTTCCCCAGAACACATCATCCATTTGTCTGGCCCCCTTGGCACGCTGTCTGTCCTACTTTGTGTTGGTTCTGTGTTTCAGTGCCTGTGTCCAGCAGCCCCAGGTGCTCCTAACAGAGTCCTACACGTGCCTTTGCCACCTGGGCGCCTCCACAATGCCTACCCATGGCTCGCTCACCTCCCTTCTCGCTACTTCTGCTTTGCTCTTGCAAGCAACAGCCCCACCACACAGGGACACCTGGGCCCTAGCACAGTGCAGAGGCCAGATGGTGAAGAGGGGCCAGCTGACACTTTCGGACTCCTCTCAACAGGAGCTTTCCGCTCAGGCTGGTGGCTGAGTGTGACTGAGCTCCTCGCCTGCTCCACAGGCTCTCAGGCTTGCCTCCAGGCTGGGGAGGGACTTCCTCTGGGCTCCATACATCTAGATACCACCTGGTTTGCCTCTCCCCTTCCCCTCCCCTTCTTTA